GATAATTCTCGAGCTAATACATGCCGACGGGCGCTAGGGGACGGCCGCTCCGCTTTTGTACCCTGCTCCCTCTTATGCTGTGCTGGTGCCTCTGTGCGACCAGCGCCTCTTCCTCCAAACTTCCTCATCATCCTCCACATCATCTTCCACCTACTCCTCAACCCTGCCCTCCTTGCTCACTGCAGAAAGCCACAGCAGTTGGCACCTGTGTTTTTCCAGCATGTAAAGTCTGCATATGGAAAATGTTTTAGAATTGTATCCAGGCAACAGTTTTCCCTATAAACTGACCTCTCAGTTTAACATGTGAGGGTATTGCCCCAGAATTACAATATTGTTTAAGTACCTCTTAGCTATTGATAACTGGTTTGAATATAGCAGCTTGTTATCTGGTAGTTTCTAGTATAGAAAATATCAATCTGTTTTCTATCACTTAGATCTGTGTAACAAGTGTTGTAGGTGTGAAACAATATTACAAGTGACCGATGTAGTAAATTTGAATCAAAGTTACGCTTCGATTTGACTCTCAGATATAAAGTGAACACCCCAAATATACTATTTAGCACCAAAAAAAAAAAAAATGTACTTTTTAAAACTCCAATGTAAGCAGCAGATTAGCAGCAAAACAATTAGAATGTTTACAACTGTGCAGTAAGCGCACTATTTGACGCTTCTATTTGACTGTCAGATATGAAGTGCACCGCAGGCCGCAAATGTACTATTTAGCAGATTAGCAGCAAAACAATTAGAATTTTTCTGACTGTGCTGTAAGCGCACTATTAGACGCTTCTATTTGACTCTCAGATATGAAGAGCCCGCCAAAAATGTACTATTTAGCAGATTAGCACCCAGAAAATAAGAATTTTTACAACTGCGCAGTAAGTGCACTATTTGATGCATCTATTTGACTCTCAGATATGAAGAGCACACCCAAAATGTACTGTTTAGCAGCAAAACAATTAGAATGTTTACAATTGCGCTGTAACCGCGATCTTGACGCTGCTATTTGACTCTCAGATATGAAGTACACTGCAGGCCGCAAATGTACTATTTAGCAGATTAGCACCCAGAAAATTAGAATGTTTACCACTGCGCTGTAAGCGCACTATTAGACGCTTCTATTTGACTCTCAGATATGAAGAGCACCCCACTAATGTACTATTGAGCAGATTAGCACCCAGAAAATAAGAATGTTTACCACTGCCCTGTAAGCGCACTATTAGACGCTTCGATTTGACTCTCAGATATGAAGTGCACCACAGGCCGCAAATGTACTATTTCGCAGATTAGCAGCAAAACAATTAGAATGTTCACCACTGCGCTGTAAGCGCACTATTAGACGCTTCTATTTGACTCTCAGATATGAAGAGCACCCCACTAATGTACTATTGAGCAGATTAGCACCCAGAAAATAAGAATGTTTACCACTGCCCTGTAAGCGCACTATTAGACGCTTCGATTTGACTCTCAGATATGAAGTGCACCACAGGCCGCAAATGTACTATTTCGCAGATTAGCAGCAAAACAATTAGAATGTTCACCACTGCGCTGTAAGCGCACTATTTGACGCTTCTATTTGACTCTCAGATATGAAGTGCACCGCAGGCCACAAATGTACTATTTAGCAGATTAGCAGAAAAACAATTAGAATGTTTACAATTGCGCTGCAACCACAGTATTTGACGCTTCTATTTGACTCTCAGATATGAAGTGCACGCCACAAAATGTACTATTTAGCAGATTAGCGGCAAAATAATTAGAATGTTTACCACTGCGCTGTAAGCACACTATTAGACGCTTCTATTTGACTCTCAGATATGAAGTGCACCCCATTAAAATAATATTTAGCAGTTTAGCACCCAAAAAATTGTAAGTTTTAAAATTGCAATGTGACAGCAGTATTTGAAGCTTCTATTTGACTCTCAGATATGAAGTGCACCCCACTAATGTACTATACCACTAATGTACTAGTTTGCAGAATTCTTTCATAAGCTGTCCCTCACAGGGGCAGCATCCTCTCCCTACACTAATAAGACCGCATTTGCGTGCGGCGCTACGCGACTCCAGCTTATATATAGAGGCTGGGTCACATCCTGCACTACATTAGTAGGCATGGCTGTGATGGCTTCTAAGGGCACACAGGTCAAACGCTTGCTGATTTGCTGCCCTGCAGCCTTTCAAAATGCATCATTAAATCGCCGAACACCGAACTCCAACACGAACATACAGTGATATGTTCGTGTTCGGGGTCCAAAAAACGTAATGTTCGGTACGAACCCGAACTTTACAGTTCTGGTTCGCTCAACTCTAATTATGATTTTTCTGTATAAAGACAAATGAACTTATCAGCCACAAGATGGCAGTATTGCTGCAAGGAGTTTTTTTTGAGTCTATCCCATACTGTGAGTTGACAGAATGTTAAAAAAAAGATTGCTGGGGAATAAAAACAACATATTTAAATACTATTTGAAATAAACAACAGATAAGTGCCTTTAAAGGCAAGCCAAAAAGTCAATAATTATGTACGGAGGATAAGTGATACACTCTGCTATTGCATCATTATAACAGCCAAGCATTGTATTCTTGTAATTTTTCAAGTGAATTTTTACTGTTTTGTATTACTGTATAAGTGAAGTGAACATGGATGAAAGAAGACTGTTATTAAAAGCTAAGTGTTAATTTTCATTATTTAACTGTAAGACTAGTTTGAACATACAAAGTTTCTTAAAGTGGACCTGTCACCTACAAAGTGTGACGTAAGTCAATAGCACATTAATACATCAGTTTCTTAATATTTCTTTTTAGTTGGTTTGAAATGTTTTAGATCTTTCCTTTGGCAATGTATTATTCTGGGGTTATTTAAGACATTCATCTAATCCTATCTCATTACCTGATTTCCATAAAAGTTAGAAAATAAAGTTTATGATATCAAATATCACAAGCTCAAAAAGAAGGTTGACGTAATGTTGAAATGATTCAAAAAGATTGGAAACTAGGCTTACAATACTTAGTGTTGACTGAAACTAATAGGAATACCAAAAAAAAAAACTCTAAAAACCCCAGCAGAGGTAACAGCAGAAAGACAAATAATCCAATGCTAGGGTTCCAGAAATCAGAATAAATTTAGACACTCCTCACTTACCAATTGAGTTCTGTTCCTACGACCCAGTCGTAGAACGAATTGGTCAGTAAGTGAGAAGTTAAGGGATTCCCTGCTCTGCTGTGTTCTTCTATGTTCGGGGAAATGTGCCTGAACATAGACGAACAGAGCAGCGAATCCCTCTAATCTATGCTTGGGGTAATTTCCCCGAACATAGATTAGAGGGATTCCCTGCTCTGTTGCGTTCGTCTATGTTTGGGGAAATATCCCAGCAAGAGAGCTGGTCGTTAGTGCGACCCATCGTAAAACAGGTAGGTTGCAAAATGGGGACCACCTGTATTATTAAAAAAAAAAAAACACAAGTTGGTGAGCAAACCAATATAAAATAAATAGCAAAAAAGTATCAAAATACTAATTAAGAGTGTTTCACTTTAAATGTCCTTGTGCCGCACCTTTAAGACAAATTGAAAACAAAACTAGTGCAGAGGATCCATATGCTATGATTCGGGACAATCAAACAAACACAGATCGATGTAGCTGCTTCGCACTGCTTCCTTCAGAACATTAACGCCATCCTCTGCATAACTCGTTTCACCCGCACCTTGGGGCTTTGTTAAATGCCAGTAGACCCAGGTCCAGTTTGTCTGTCTTTGCATACACTGTTGCCAGATTGTTTGTGTATATTAAAGTTCCCGTGCTATTAAACACAGTGTGAATATTTATTGTGCAGGAACCAACACAGATTAAAAGCCGATATCCTTATGTATTACTAAAAATCCCACAAGTTGGTGTTTGAATAAATGAATAGCTAGCAGAGACATGAATAATCACCCCTGTATTTGCTGGTTGCATTAAAAGCTACTTATAGTTTCCTTTTCTGTTTCTTCTCATTGCCACAATGTTTCCAGGCCCAATACAGACAGTAAGTCATGTCTAGAGCAGAGAGGACACCTGGATGTTCGCGTCTGGCGGGTTCGGCCGAACTTTGAAACTAGGTCCGGGTTCGGGCTCGAACTTGACCCGAACTTGACCCTGAACCCGAACCTCTTTGAGGTCAATGGGGCCTGAACTTTTGAGCACTAAAATGGCTCTAAAAAAGTCCTGGGAAGGGCTAGACGGCTGCAAAAGGAAGTAAAATGGGGGTAAGAGTAGGACAAGTGCCCTGCAAACAATTGAGGTAGCCCCTAAAATATTGGGACATATTAAAAAAGAAAACAAAGAATAAGTGCACTTGAGTATAACAATGGCTGGGTGAGGCCGGTATAAATGTCTATTCTGCACAAGGTACAGACAAGTCTGGGATCCATGCCTGGTTCATTTTAATAAACGTGATCTTGTCCACGTTGGTTGTGGACAGGCGGCTGCGCTTGTCTGTGATAAGGCCCCCTGCCGTGCTAAATACACGTTCAGACAATACACTGGCTGCAGGGCAAGCCAGCACCTCCAAGGCATAAAGGGCAAGCTCAGGCCATGTGCACAATTTGGAGACCCATCAGTCAGTACATGTAGGCGTGTGCACACGTACTGTTCCACCATGTTACTGAAATGCTGCCTCCTGCTAAGACATTCCATATCAGCTGGTGGTGCTGGTTGTTGTGGCGTGCTGACAAAGCTTTTCCACATTTCGGCCATGCTAACCCTGCCTACTGAGGTGCTGGCGGTGCCCCAGCTGCGCTGGCGACCTCTTCCTCCTCCTCTGCCTTCGCCTTGTGCTTCCACTGAGCCCCCGGTGTCATTTGGGAATGCCCTCAGCAGCGTGTCTACCAGCGTGCGTTTGTAGTCGCGCACCTTCCGATCACGCTCCAGTGAGGGAATTAAGGATGGCACGTTGTCCTTGTAACGGGGATCCAGCAGGGTGGCCACCCAGTAATCAGCACAAGTTAGAATGTGGGAAACTCGGCAGTCGTTGAGCAGGCACTTTGGTGACTCTAGATAACCTCTGGTTGATCGCACATCCCCGTGATGGCGACATTGCATTCAGATGTCTGCCCTATCAACTTTAGATTGTACTTTCTGCGCTTACCATGGTGACCATGGGTAATGAGGAATCAAGGTTCAATTCTGGAGAGGGAGCCTGAGAAACGGCTACCACATCCAAGGAAGGCAGCAGGCGCGCAAATTACCCACTCCCGACGAGGGGAGGTAGTGATGAAAAATAACAATACAGGACTCTTTTGAGGCCCTGTAATTGGAATGAGTACACTTTAAATCTAGAGTTGAGCGAACCCGACCTGTAAAGTTCAGGTTCGTACCGAACATTAGGTTTTTTGGACCCCGGACCCGAACACGGACATATCACTGTGGAATTCGGTGTTCGGCGATTTAATGGCGCATTTTGAAAGGTTGCAGGGCAGTCAATCAACAAGCGTTAGGCTCGTGTGCCCTTAGAAGTCATCACATCCATGCCTACTAATGGCATGGCTGTGATTGGCCAGTGCAGCATGTGACCCAGCCTCTATATATAAGCTGGAGTCGCGTTGCGCCGCACGCACATGCGGTGTTATTAGTGTAGGAAGAGGATGCTGCCCGCTGATAGGGACAGCTTAGGAAAGAATTATGCAAACTAGTATATTAGTGGGGGTGGGGTGCTCTTCATATCTGAGATTCAAATAGAAGCTTCAAATACCGCAGTTACATCGGAGTTTTGAAAAGTAAATTTTTTTGGTGCTAAATAGTACATCAGTGGGGTAGTACATTAGTGGGGTGCACTTCATATCTGAGAGTCAAATAGAATCGTCAAATACTGCTGTCACATTGCAGTTTTAAAACTCTAAATTTTTTGGATCCTAAACTGCTAAATAGTATTTTGGTGGGGTGCACTTCATATCTGAGAGTCAAATCGAAGCATCTAATAGTGTGTTTCCAGTGCAGTGGTAAATATTCTTATTTTCTGGGTGTTAATCTGCTAAATAGTACATTTTGTGGCCTGCTCTTCATATCTGAGAGTCAAATAGAAGCGTCAAATAGTGCGCTTACTGCGCAGTTGTAAACATTCTAATTGTTTTGCTGCTAATTAGTGATGTCCCGAACGGTTCGCGAACGGTTCGCCACGGACTCATCATTGAGTAAACTTTGACCCTGTACCTCACAGTCAGCACACACATTCCAACCAATCAGCAGCAGACCCTCCCTCCCAGACCCTCCCACCTCCTGGACAGCTCACTAAGAATGCAGCTTCAAAATGGATGCTGTCCAGGAGGTGGGAAGGTCTGGGAGGGAGGGTCTACTGCGGATTGGCTGGAATGTGTCTGCTGACTGTGATGTGTCTGCAGCCGCACGGGTCAAAGTTTACTCAATGATGAGTCCGTGGCGAACCGTTCGGGACATCACTACTGCTAATCTGCTAAATAGTACATTTTGGGGCCTGCGGTGCACTTCATATCTGAGAGTCAAATCGAAGCGTCTAATAGTGCGCTTACAGTGCAATTGTAAACATTCTAATTGTTTTGGTGCTAAACTGCTAAATAGTAAATTTTGGGGCGTGCACTTCATATCTGAGAGTCAAATCGAAGCGTCTAATAGTGTGCTTACAGCGCAGTTATAAACATTCTTATTTTCCGTGTGCTAATCTGCTAAATAGTACATTTTGTGGCCTGCTCTTCATATCTGAGAGTCAAATAGAAGCGTCTAATAGTGTGCTTACAGCGCAGTTATAAACATTCTAATTGTTTTGCTGCTAATCTAGTAAATAGTACATTTGCGGCCTGCGGTGCACTTCATATCTGATAGTCAAATAGAAGCGTCAAATAGTGCGCTTACTGCGCAGTGGTAACCATTCTAATTGTTTTGCTGCTAATCTGCTGCTTACATTGGAGTTTTAAAAAGACAATTTAAAAAAAAATAAAAAAAAAATTATGCTAAATAGTATATTTGGGTTGTTCACTTCATATCTGAGAGTCAAATCGAAGCGTAACTTTGATTCGAATTTACTACATCGGTCACTTGTAATATTGTTTCACACCTACAACACTTGTTACACAGATCTAAGTGATTGAAAACAGATTGATATTTTCTACACTAGAAACTACCAGATAACCAGCTGCTATATTTAAACCAGTGATCAATAGCTAAGAGGTACTTAAACAATATTGTAATGCTGGGGCAATACCCTCACAAGTCAAACTGAGAGGTCAGTTTATAGGGAAAACTGTTGCCTGGATACAATTCTAAAACAATGTCCTTTGCAGACTTTACAGGCTGGAAAAACACAGGTGTGGCTTTCTGCAGTGTGCATACCGGCAAGGAGGACAGGGTTGAGGAGTGGGTGGAAGATGATGTGGAGGATGATGAGGTCCTAGACCCCACATGGAATCAAGGTCATGCGAGTGACGTGTGCAGTTTGGAGGAAGAGGCGCTGATCGCACAGAGGCACCAGCACAGCATAAGAGGGAGCAAGGTGCAAAAGCGGAGAGGCCGTCCCCTAGCGCTCGTCGGCATGTATTAGCTCGAGAATTATCAGTTATCCAAGTAATACATGTAGCGATCAAAGGATCCATAATAGAGTTGAGCGAACCCGAACTGCAAAGTTCGGGTTCGTACCAGATTTAACGATCCATTCGTAGTTTCACAGTCAGGTGGGCAGTCCGGTGACAAGGACCCAGACACTGTCTGGGCGGCGGTCGGACGACCGGGACCCAGTATGCCTGATGTTGAAGTTAGGAGTCACAGTGTGGAATGGATTAGCAGGGTCTGGTGCAGGGTAACTGCACGCCCCCTGGTGTTGAGCACCAGGACCCTGATGCAGCTTCAGTAAAAAGAGTACTTGATACCAGAAGCCATCACCAGACTGATCCGCAACGTGGAACAGGATGTGACATTCACTGTAGCGGCTGTGCTCGCTTTTGGCGTTCTCACCCTGCTGCAGCTCGCCTGTCTGCACTGCAGCGTAACTTCGGCCTTCCTGCTCACCACCTCATGAGACTGTGCGAGCAGCAGCAGGCAATAGTGGAGCTTCAGCTGCAGCCACACGGGTCAGTGGCTCTGCACCAGACTTCCCTCCAATTGATCAGAGTTAAAGGATTTCAAGTGGACTCATTACAATTACAGGGCCTCTAAAGAGTCCTGTATTGTTATTTGTCTTCACTACCTACCCGCATCGGGAGTGGGTCATTTGAGCGCCTGCTGCCTTCCTTGCATGTGGTAGCCGTTTCTCAGGGTCTCTGTATAGGAATGGAACCCTGATTCCCGTTACCCGTGGTCACCATGGTAGGCGCAGAAACTGTCTTCGAAAGTTGATATGGATGACATCCGCATGCAAAGTCACCGCCACGGGGATGTGCGATTAGCCGAGGTTCTCTAGAGTCAACAAAGTGCCTGCGCAACTATAATGTCAACAGCTACTCTGCGGAACAGAGTTGTCTTTTTTATATGTCCCAATATTTTGGGGGCTACCCCATTAAAAAAAAAAAAAACTATATATATATATTATATATATATATATATATATATTAAAAAAAACTGTGTTGGCTACCTCATCCTCCTCCTCCACCGCCACGGTCACCGCCTCCTCAACTTATGGGTCACTTAGTATAAACTATGTACACAATAGCAGAGGCTTGTGAAGGCCTTTCCTCCATGCATCAGGAGTTGAGCATTTCTCCATGCATCAGGACTGCAAGAAATGCATCGCAGGCCGCAAATGTTTCTTTTGTTGTATGTCCCAATATTTTGTGGGCTACCACAATTAAAAAAAAAAACAAAAAAATACATAAACAGTGTTGACTACCTCATCCTCCTCCTCCACCACTGCTTACACCTACACCGCCACGGTCACCGCCTCCTCAACCTATGGGTCACTTAGTATAAAGTAGGTACACATTAGCAGAGGCTTTTGAAGGCCTTTTCTCCATGCATCGGGAGTTGAGCTCAGTTTGAACAATGAAAGAGAATGCCCTGCACTCCAACCCTCTCTCAAAAAGATAATTCTGGTGATCCTCCTGACAGCCTTTAGATTTTGATTTATGTTCTTCCAAAGCTAAAATCAAAGATTCCATCTAGTGCTATTTTATGGCTCAGCTGTATTTTTAATTTTTATGTTATTTTAAGTGATTTCCCTATCCACATTTGTTTGCAGGGCACTTGTCCTACTCTTACCCCCATTTTACTTCCTTTTGCAGCTCTCTCGCCCTTTCCAGGAGTTTTTTAGAGGCTTTTTTATGTCCAAAAGTTTGGGTCCCCATTGACTTCAGAGGGATTTTTAAAAAGTTTGGCCGAACCCGCCGGACCCGAACATCCAGGTGTTCGCTCAACTCTATTTAAATCCTTTAACGAGGATCTATTGGAGGGCAAGTCTGGTGCAGAGCGACTGACCCGTGCGTGCTGCAGCTGAAACTCCACTATCGCCTGCTGTTGCTCGCACAGTCTCTCCAGCATGTGCAAGGCGGAGTTCCACATTGTGGGCACGTCGCATATGAGGTGGTGAGCGGGAAGGCCCAAGTTACCCTGCAGTGGCCCGCACTTTCTGCGGCAGCTCTGATATATCTGGGTAGTTTTTCAGGAATTTCTACACCACCAAATTCAGCACATGCGCCAGGCAAGGGATGTGCAGCAAACCGGCTAGGCCCAGAGCTGCTACAAAATTTCACCCATTATCGCACACCACCAGGCCAGACTTGAGGCTCAGTGGCAACAACCACTCATCGGTCTGTTGTTACATGCCCGTCCACAGGTCCTGCGCAGTGTGGGGTTTTTCCCCCAAACATATGAGTTTTAAAACAGCCTGCTGTCGTTTCCCTCTGGCTGTGCTGAAGTTGGTGGTGAAGGTGTTATGCTGACCGGATGAGGAGGTGGTAGAGGAGGAGGAAGTGGAATAGGAGGAGAAGGCAACAGGAGGCAAACAAAAATGCCCTGCAATCCTCGGTGGCGGAAGGACATGTGCCAAACTGCTATCCGCCTCAGGCCCAGCCGCCACTACATTTGCTCAGTGTGCAGTTAGGGAGATATAGCGTCCCTGCACGGGCTGACTGGTCCAAGTATCAGTGGTTATGTGGACCTTGCCACTGATGGCGTTGCGCAGTGCACACCTGATTTTGTCCGCCAATTGGCTGTGCAGGGATGGCTCGCCTGGAAAAGTAGTGGCGGCTGGGATCCACGTACTGTGGGACAGCCACCGCCATCAGGTTTTTAAAACTGTCCGTCTCCCCCAGACGGAATGACAGCGTTTCAAAGGCCACAAATATTGAAATGCTGGCATTCAGGGCCAGGGATCGCGGGCGGGTTGGAGGTACTTCCTCTTTCTCTCCAGTGTTCGGGAGATGGACAGCTGAACGCTTCCATGGGACAGTGTGGAGATTCTTGGGGACGGTGGCGGACGTGGTGGCGTTGCTGCCACATCCTCTGTTTGTGGGGTGGCAGATGCCACTGTCACTCCAGAGGTGGAGGAAGAGGCCAAGACAGCAGCAGAAGAGGAAGCAGGAGGAGCCTGAGACCTTTCTTGGTTTTTGAGGTGCTTACTCCACTGCAGCTCGTGCTTTGCATGTAGATGCCTGGTCATGCAGGATGTGCTCAGGTTTAAAACGTTTATGCCTCGCTTCAGGCTCTGATTGCACAGCGTGCAAACCACTCGTGCCTTGTCGTCAGCACATTGTCTGAAGAACTGCCACGCCAGGGAACTCCTTGGAGCTGGCTTTGGTGTGCTCGGTCCCTGGGTGCGGTGGGCAATAGCAGGCGTACTGTCTAGGGGACGGCCGCTCCGCTTTTGTATCCTGCTCCCTCTTATGCTGTGCTGGTGCCTCTGTGCGACCACCACCTCTTCCTCCAAACTGCACACGTCACTCGCATGACCTTGATTCCATGTGGGGTCTAGGACCTCATCATCCTCCACATCATCTTCCACCCACTGGTCCTCGCATGTACACATCCTGAAACATAAGTGGTTGTGCATCAGTGCACTCAATCTCTTCCACTTCTGGGGCAGGGCTAGGTGGATGGCCCATGGAAATCCCGCCAGCAGAATCATCAAAAAGCATAAGAGACTGCTGCATGACTTGTGGCTCAGAATGCTTGGCTGATTTGCAAGGAGGTGAGGTGAAAGACAGATGGACATGGGCTGCAGGTGCCAGCTCTGAGCTTTCAGCAGGGGACCGGGTGGGAGACAATGTGAAGGAACTGGAGGCACTGTCAGCCACCCAATCTACTATCTCCTGTACTTGTTCTGGCCTCACCATTCGTAGAGCGGCATTCGGGCTTACCAAATAACGCTGAAGGTTCTGTCGCCTACTCGCACCTGAGGAAGGTGTTTCACTTGTGCGTGTAGCTGGCACAGATCGACCACTTCATCTCCCTGCAACAGGAACTCCACGAACACCAGCAGCACCACGACCAGGACCACGTCCCTTATTTGACGCTCTCCTCATTCTTTGCGTTCACACACCAAACTAACAGATGGTTTATGTTAGGCTACAATAGTCAACAATTAAGTTCACTGACAGTAAGGCAGTGCCGTGTGTCCTAAAGATAAAAAATTTCTAGAGGACACACAACAGTGTGACAGGCGTAATTAATACAGTTACTTCACTGTCTCAAAAAAGTGTGATTTTTGTTTTTAAACCAACAATGTAACAGTAGTATTAAAGAGTTTTATTGGACTGTAAGAAATGCACCTCAGGCTGCAAATGTTCTATTTAGCACAAAAAGTGTGATTTTTTAAACCAACAACAGTAGTATTTAAGGGTTTTACTACCACAACAAGAGGACATAGTCTTAAATTAGAGGGACAAAGGTTTAAAAATAATATCAGGAAGTATTACTTTACTGAGAGGGTAGTGGATGCATGGAATAGCCTTCCAGCTGAAGTGGTAGAGGTTAACACAGTAAAAGGAGTTTAAGCATGCGTGGGATAGGCATAAGGCTATCCTAACTATAAGATAAGACTAGGGACTAATGAAAGTATTTAGAAAATTGGGCAGACTAGATGGGCCGAATGGTTCTTATCTGCCGTCACATTCTATGTTTCTATGTTTTTATTGGACTGCAAGAAATGCACCACATGCCGCTAATGTACTATTTAGCACCAAACAAAATTGAATTGGTCAAACTGCGATGTGACCACAGTATTTGACGGCTCTATTTGACTCTCAGATATGAAGTGCACGCCACAAATTTACTTTTTTTTTTCAAACTGCGATGTAACCACAGTATTTGACGGTTCTATTTGACTCTCAGATATGAAGTGCACGCCAAAAATTTACTTTTTAGCACCAAAAAAGTTTGAATTTTTCAAATTGCAATGTCACAGCAGTCGGTAAAAATGCCTAGATGATGCCCACTGAGCTACCAGAACAGGATTAAAGTAATGTGCCTGGCACACATGCAGTTGCAAGTGCCCACCTCAAAGTCTGCTTATTTCTCTGTGGCACTGGGCTTAAGGCAGGGTACAAAAATTTAGTATAGCACCCACAAAAATAATCGCTGTAGTTTGCAGATTCAACACCAGAATTCTTTCCTAATCTGTCCCTCACAGCTGCAGCATCCT